AGCTGACTGTGCTTGATGCGCATCATTTTTAGTCCCCATTCGAACATAGTCGAAAACAGAGACTTGTGGATTGTGCCCTCGCGCGTCTGTGTGTCCGTACGTGCATGCATCCTGACCTGTATTTTAGACATGTTTTGATCAATTACATTCAAACTTCACACATACATCATACATAATATTATACATATGCACATCAATTTGTTTCACGATCTATTTCAAGATGGCTAAATGGTGGCCATTTTCCTACGTCATTTTGATTTTCAGATAAGATTCAAAATGGCTGACTGGTGGCCATTTTGTTTTAATGAATGTGGTTCTAGTGCCATATCTCTGACATGCTTTGACTGATTATATTCAAATTTTAAATATTCACTATACATCATCTCATACATATACAGATACATTGGTTTGATGATCTGATTCAAAATGGCTGAATGGTGGCCATTTTTGTGCTAACAAATCATCAAAATCATTTCTGGCATTCCGGAACTGGTTCTCGGTTGTGTATGGATGGATTTTCTTCTAACTTTGTACATACATCAGACATTATAGGTTCCTGATGGACGTCTCTTTGTTTTTCAGATCGGATTCAAAATGACCGAGTAGCAGTCATTTTGTTTTAATGAATGTGATACTGGTGCTATATCTTTGATATGCTTTGACTGATGTTCAAATTTTATATTTATTCTTTATACATCATGTCATAGATATACAGATGTATTGGTTTGACGATTCGATTTAAAATGGCCGACTAGTGGCTATTTGGTTTCAATTAATGCTGTTCCAGAGCAATATTTCTCAATATGAACAGCTACTTGTACTACTGTACTACTTTATTTTAGCTTGGAATTGATTTTCACTATTTTTGCTGAAGTAATGACTCAGTGAAAATAAAATCCAGCGAATATACCTTATTTCCTATACATGTATTTTACATTCAACTTGTCAAAAATCAGTGAAAATACATACAAAACACCCAAAAAGTCTTTTCAGGGAAAATTAATTCCAGCTAAAATTAAGTATTTTACAGTATATTACTATAAACAAAACTTAGATTTGATAACTAACAGGGACTGTACCATGCATGGCTTGTGTTTTTCAGATCAGATTCAAAATGGTTGACTGGCTGCCATTTTGTTTGAATAAATGCTGTTCCAGAGCAATATCTGTAGATAAAAGTAGTGATATCTTGAGATCATGTTATAATTTATCAAACTATCTTACATCTTTCCTGTAAGACAAACTATTATAACAAAATTATCTTCTCTATATTCTTGGGACATATTTTAATGGTGATTATTTTAACTCAACCATCGTAGGTCATGACCAGTTTAAATCAACTGCAATCAACATACCCTCTTGAAGAAGATGCATTCTCGCACCTGCTATACCGTACACGTGTACGTCAGCTTCTCAACAATGCTTACTACACTGCCCAGGTAATTACCATAATTATTAATTATTTAAATTAATTGATATCCACAGGTAGTGGAGAATTTAACACGTTTAATGGACCACAGTCTGCTTATCCAAGTAAATTGGGTTGAATTTATGTTAAATGAAGCAAAGGAAAGACTGTCGTCTCAGGCATTACCAGGTCACGCTGAGGTAGGATAGATCTTCACTCTCATCCAAGAAATAAATAGGGTTCGTCACATTTTTCACTGATCTGTTATCCATTTAGAGGAATTTGGTATTTTGCAAATATTTTATTTACAACGTTTGCTTTTACAGCTTATTATACAGTTACCATGTTTTTTATTAATTTTTTCAATGTCCAATTTTGTCTTGCCTATAATGAAATGAAATGAAAAGACAGGTATAAGTGTTGGCATCTGGCAACGGTATCATCGATATCGCTGTTAACAATTTTCTGTGTCAAGAATAACTAATTTTTCTCCAATCTTTTTTAACAGTTGTATATACTGTCAATAAATGTATAATCTTGGTGCAGTTCAATGTTTTTTGAGATATTGGTCAAATTTTTTTGGGACAGTGATAGTAATATTTTATTGCATCTTTAGAAAATTTCTATCAGTTGTTAGCAATAAATATATGAGTAACAAAAACTAAATAAAACTAAAAATTATGCAATTTCATTTCGTGTTGGGAAGCATCTGTTTACAAAACTTATAATGCTTATCATTTCCTTATCTCTGTAAATAGATATTTAAGTTTCTGGAATGAATTGGTGATTTTGACAGGGAGTGCAATATCTGTCAGGATTGTTATTCAATGTTAAATCCATAAAAACTTGTATATTGTTGATTTTTTTCCAATGTCATTGTTTTCCCAATTTTAACTATATTAGGTGTTGACAGTTTCGTTTTTGTTCTGTCTTTTCTTCATTAGGTTCAACTAAAGTGTCGAGAAGACAATAATGAAGTACAGTTTTCTGTGGGAATGATTATGAAACATAAGTTGTAAGTATAAAGTGCATTTAGTCCCTGTCAGCAACTATTAATTTTGAGCCATTTCTCAAACATGCTTTGCCTGATCACATTCAAACTTAACACACAGACCATATATTATGACTTGCATATTGCACATCAGTTTTTAAAATCATTTGATCAAGTATGCCTGACTGGTCATCAAAATTTCTAAATTCTGATACTTAAACAAGTCTTGGTAAAATGGCCGACTGGTGGCCATTTTGTGTTTATTCATGTCCATGCTGATTCCTCACTAACATATTGCCTAATTCAGTTGAAAGTTAGCACATAAATACTATACTCATAGGTAATGCCATAGATTGTGTTATTTCCTGAAATCACAGTCTGTATAAATGCATGAGAAATTATTTATAGCAGATAAACAGAATTATTCATTTTGGGTTACAGGTGCACATCATTTTAACAACTGTTTTTCTGAGATGACTTGCATGATTTCATTCAATGCTGGATTTTCGTTGCTGCTCGTGATGGAATTTTGCATTTAATAATAATAACAATAATAATAACTTTATTACACTACTAAAAAACCTTCAGAGGGTTTTTGTATGGTAAGGAACATAAATACATACAATACATAAGAGATAAAAATAAAATGTTAGTAAAATAAAAGAAAAAAAAAAAAAAATTAATTACTTTCTGTGGTTTTAAAAATTGTGCTCTTTAAGTATTTTTTAATACAGAATGAGGACTGAGCATTGTCAATGCTTGTTTATATTTGTCTCTGTAATTCTATCAGGCAAAATGGTGTGATTCTGATGACAGGTTCTACACAAAAGGGTGGAATTGGTTAGCATGTTTTTTTAACTACATTGTAGAACAGCATCCATCCATTGTTTGGTGTAACATAGAGCTCTATAGGTTATGAGGATATTCAAAAAGTAATCAGCACTCAGGAAGTACATGGTTACACATCAGTCATTACTCTTGCTATAATCTGTGTGCATACCTTGCAATATCAACTAGTGACAGCTGAAAATGCATACCCGAATGTTTATAAATGTCAAAAGTATTATGTATCACTGCAGGTCCTTCATCGTCAATATCCCATCCACCACTGCTCCACAAACCTGTCATTTGCCCATCACTGTCTTCATCACTCTTATTCAAAACATTCAATTGTTATGCTATTTATTGGCAGGAAGAATTTTTTGTGTTAAAGCGAGAGGGTCGTCATCTGTGTACGCGCGGGAATTGAGTCCCAAGCTACAATAACAACACATGCTAAAAATGCAAAGGATCATGGGTAGATGCTTGTTTGTAAACAATGACTCGCTATGACCATCTGACGCATGCGCAGGTGATGACTCCCTCGCTTTAAATAAATGTCACGTTAAGCGTCATACTGCTCTCTAGAGTTTAATATTGCAAATGCTTTTGTTTTCCTTTTTTATCAGATACAGCTATGTTTGTGTGATTTATGGCTGGGATTCTTTATGTAAAATGCCTGAGGATTGGATTATACAAATGGGTGTGTATAATCTACCAAAGAAGGAAAAACAGCCATTTTATAACGTCTTAGTGGAAGATGGAACAGACAGATATGCAGCTCAAGGTATATTGGCAGAAAAAAAAATAGTAAACTCTCTAAGCTCACAAATACGTTTTTTTTTGTATTTTTGGTACTGCCAAGATTATATTTTGTTGTATTCCTGTGATAACAATGTAATACTCCAGTCATATTTCTGCTTGTAGATTTAATTCAGTGAAAAAAGCTGAAATATCAGCAAAAAAACAAAAACACAAAAACATTTATGCCATCAAACATCTGTATATTCATTGTTGTTCAGTCACATAATTTAATTTCCATGACATACAATATTTTTACTTCATCTAATGTAAGCAAAGGAACATATTGTGTATCCACATAAAATATTCACTACATTTTTGGATATTTCCAAACAGGTTTTGACTGCTAAATTTGTTCTCACTATGTTTTATTGTGAAGAATGAAACATGAATTTGTCAAGATTCAGTAAAATGTGTTGAAGATACAAATTATACTTTTTAGTCCCCGTTCGGATGAAGTCCGAAAACGGGAACTATTAATTTGGGTTCTGTCCGTCCATGCGTCGTGTGTCCGTCTGGAGCCATTTCTCGGACACCTTTTGACCGATCTCGTTCAAACTTGGCATACAGACAATGTATTCATTCATCATTGTATGACCTACATATGCACACTAATTTTTGTTGTGATTCGATTAAATATGGCTGACTGGCAGCCATTTTGTCCCTCAAATTTGCTAAATTCTGATATTTAAACGTGTTAGGAACTGTTTCTCGGAGCTGAACAGGGTGATTTCAATCAAACTTTGTATGGTGATCATGTATATTGGGTTATAGGTGCACGTCACTTTTTTTTCGAGTTTCGGTCCAAGATGGCCAACTGGCAGCCATTTTGTTTTTTCCGTTTTTGTGCTGATTCCTCCATAAGATATGACCTGATTCAGTTCAAAGTTTGTACATAGGTACTATACTTTAGGATAACACAACTTCATGTTTTGTTTTGCGATTTGATCAAATTTGTTGAAATGGCGGACATTTTGTTTAATATCTTAAAATCACAGTCTGTAATGTGTCCGGAACAGTTTCTCAGAGCTAAACAGGGTGATTTCAATCAAACTTTGTATGGTGATCATGCATATTGAGTTACAGGTGCAAGTCACTTTTTTTTCGAGATTCGGTCCAAGATGGCTAACTGGCGGCCATTTAGTTTTTCTCCGTTTTCGTGCTGATTCCTCCATAAGATATGGCATGATTCAGTTCAAAGTTTAAGTTAAAAAAACATTGATCTTTCCTTTCTTCATGTCACTTGTACTGAACATTTACATCGACTACAGCTAATACTTAACGGGGAATATGCATTATCAATGCTTGTTGTATTTGTAGTCTTGATTTCAAAAACTTACAGGGTATCAAATTAAATTGACTCTTATGTGGTTGTCCCAACAGTAATTCTCAGTTTGGTTATGGCAGCCTCCTGTAAGTTGTTTTTAACAAGATTGTGATGCATAATTTTTTTGATATTACTCCAAGTAATATTTTTTTTTGTTCTTCTTCAGAAAATTTAGAGTTAGCAGAGGAGCCATACATGATATCTCACTCAAGTGTGGGGAAATACTTTGATTGTTTCACTGGCAGTTACTATGAAGCCAATGCAGAGCTCCTCAGACGATATCCACAAGATTTGACTGTTACAATAAATACTGTACAAGCCGCTTCTCAATAAATTCAGTGATTTTATAATATTTATTGTATTACCATGGTAACTGAAGGTAGGTCACTACAGTATTCCAACCTCTACATTGTCAAGAGTCTGTTTGTGACCAGGATTCAGAATTGTGTTACCATGGTAACTGAATGTAGGTGATGTCACTACACTCAGTATTTCAACCTCTTCATTGCCATGAGTTTGTTCGTGCCAAGGATTCTGAAATCTACAGTGTATTGTTTGATACATCTACAGAGAGGAATGATGTTTGAAGCTCCAACGATGCACAGATGATCTGACAAGACAAGACTTTGAGGAAACAAATAACAAACATATAGACCAATCTGCTTCAATATTTTCATATCATTCACTCAGGACTTTTTACTGTATCAAATACTTTTAATCATCAATGACTAGAATTAATTCAGGTCCTTCTACTTTTCTTACTCAAAATTCAATTGTGGGTTTCTGTGTCATATTTTTGTCAGAGTATGTACATTATGTAAAACCTGCAAGTACATTATTGGACTGTTTAAGTTAGATGGTAAGAACATACAATTCTAATGTAATGTCATGTGATAAGCTTAATAAACATTACCAGTAGGTACACAGGGACCCTGAGATTTTGGCCCCCCCATTCTTATTATTGTAAAAAAAAAAAGCTTATACATAATACAGATACCCCTGCACATTTTTATGAATTCTCTGTAATTTCCTTGCTACCAGAGTCCTAATAGACATAATTTCCTGTGGAAAATATTAAGTTTATTTCGTGAAAGATAACAAAATATGACTATCATTTAAGGATTTCTGGTATGAAATATCAATATTTCAACAATGACGATTCAGTTTAGGGGAACACTGAGTAAATAGGTACACAATGGGAGTCTGTGTGTATGTACGTATGTATGTCTGTCTGTCTGTCCCATTGATATCTCAAGAACCAATCACAACATTTCAATGAAACTTGGCAAATATATGCTCTGTGACAATGTGAAAACTTTCTGAGTTTTGGGTTAAAATCTGTGCACTCTAATTACCTATTTTGCATAATAATCATTAATTTTTTTGTATTTGCACAGATAGCTAATTATAATGTACATTTAATAAAAAAAAAATTCAACAATTATAGTATTTCAAAATAAATAAACAATGAAAAGATTACCGTATTGTTTGTGATTGTGTTATTGGTATTATAAGATGAACAATGGTGCATGAATGGTGAAATGATGTGAAATGTTTTCTGGGTGTCTATATTTTATGTTTTATATTGTTAAACAGTTATGGTGGTGGTTATAACAAGTCGACAATGGTTACCCGTTATAAAACAAGTTTTCTGAAAATTTGTTTTTTCTGCACTCATCCCTCTCCAAGTTTTTAAATGAGTTTTCCCTTGTATGCTAATGATTCTTCTTTTATGCCAATTTCCCCCCTATACGCTGTAATCATTAAGGTAGAAGCTTACCCAGAATCTGTTTATTTTGCAATATACTGTACTGTCAATATAAGAACATTTGGTGTCACTATTTTATGTTTTTGAGAAATTAATGTTATATTTTAGTGCATGACAGCCATTTTGTCGGTATTTTAATGCTTTTACTGTTGGTTCCTTTGGCAGAGATAATATACCATATCTCAAATTAAAAAAAAATTACACAACATGCCCAATGAGGTAATTTTTGGTATCCTGAAAATATGGGTTTAAAAAGAAACAAAAATAATAATTAATAATAACATTGTGTTCTATGGATTTGTTCTGAAATTAGCAAATTTTAAAAAACAATATACCAATTTTCTCAAAATATGGTACAGTATTACAGCAGAATGCCGTTTCAAGTTACTAGCAACTAGCACCTATCGCTCAGTACATACCGTACTAAACATTGTGTGATTTATGACAAACCACTGAATATTTCTCCATCTACAGTATCATTAAAATTCTAAATGGTATGTACACAAGTGTGCCCTCTAACAGGACTGATTTTGAATCAAAATGAAGCCCCCCTCCCCCAATCAAGTTGAGGTAGCTTGTTGGCTGCTGAGAAGGTCGGTCTACAGGAAAACAATTAAATTTTATGCAACTCAGAATTTTTAGCCAGTTTGCCGAACGCTTTAAACAAGTACAAAATTTGATTTGACAGGTTAAATTTCTACAAAAATCTGCCAGTTTTTGATTGAAAATTACCATTTTCACAAAATAATCAACAGAAAATAAACTATTTATGCATGAAGCTAGGCGTTTAGATGCCGCACACAAGCACTGGTTCGGGTCACACATGCAGTACAAGTTTACCGTACATTGATTTGACATAGTATTTACCATGCCGTTTATCCCCTATGTACAATTTTCTGTTGACGCACCATTGAATTAGCACAAGTAGTTGTGTAACAGCAAATCTTTGTGCTTCAATGGCACACCATATCGTCTTAGAGAGCACACTGGTGTACACAGTGGTAGTGACTTGTATACATGTACATGTACCTTGTCTTTACCGGGTGTCTGCTTATAAGCCTTGAACACTCATTGATCAATTCAAAACAAATTGTCATAATTTTAATTAATTGAGAGGTATTAGCTAAAATATATCACTACCTACTTTTGCCAGAAACAAAAGTTCTGCTTGATTTAATTCAAACAATATGACACATAAAATGTCTGCATTTAAAGAATTTTGTGATGTTTGAGATGAGGTATATTTCAATAAAATCCATCTTCAACTAGGGTTTAATTTTGTCATCAACGGTTAACTTCGACTGAGGTAAGTTTTTGCACATCGTTTACCTAAAATTGCCATTATCTGATGATACAGTTGTACTATATGTGTGTGTGTGCGTTATGTCAGATCCCTACGCCGTACTCTAATGTCATCATCTCAACTGTCCCTGTATCAGTCAGTGTCCATGTGGAAGCACATATTCATCACAATGAAGGTTGTCAAAGTATGCATGCTTTGTTATCAATGATGTATTGTACGTCAAACTGCCAATTATCAATGTTCTCAAGCCTCTGGAACCATATGTTTTTGTGGTAACCATGGCAACATTTATAGCAACCATGCAGAAAGTTGATGTTTTGAATTATTGAGTTGATGAGCGGAAAGATTTGTGAAAGGTAATCCACTGAGAGCACTCTCATCCCACCCACCATTTACCCCATTGTAAACAGACAATGGCATCCTTACTCATTTATTATCATGTATTGCAAGTAATGCCGTAGGACTTTAGCAATGCAGATACCGGTAGTTATGCCGTAAGGAGGCTGCTGATGTGGTGTAAATAAAATGTCTTAGCTGCATGCTGCTCCATTCTATCCTATCCTCATTTATTAATATTAAATTCTCTTCCATTCTTTTGTCTGTTCCTTTCCTTTAAATCTAGTTCCACATATGTAATTCACATATTCCCTTCCCTTCGGGTGACTTAAACCCTTCACATCCGGATTCAAGCCCTTCATACCCAGATTTTGACATCCAGATTTACAGGCGATAAGGCTTGACATATGGTCCCATGTGGCAAATACAAATGCATATAAAATGCATTAAAATGCCCAATACACAAATTTTGTATGTACGCTTATGACAACCTCAAATTAACCCATTTCATCGTAGTTGATATTCAACCTGACATTCCCAGCCTGATTTACACCTGTATTTAAACATTTCTGCACACACGTTCAATCTTTCACATTTATCTCCACTAAACAATCTCTAATTTTCATTTTTAAAAGCATTACAAATTTGTGATATTTTGCTCACTGAAAGGTTTCATCAAATAAATAACAAAATGTTACCTATAAACTTTAAACCGTTGTTTGGTGACCATTTTGTATTAGAAAATGAACAAAATGCATACAATAGAGGTTCATAATTAAAAAACCACATAGTTCATATTCTTTGTAATTTAAAATGACCAATCACAAAGTTTGAAAATTCTGTCCCTCAAGTGTGTTGACTGAGCAGACTGTCCTTTAGATACTGTTACCGAGGGCAACAGGATACGCCTCCAGTATATCTAATCATTTTGTATTTTCTACTCTTCCTGTTGCCTATAATTCATTACTGTATTGCTAACAGCTGTTAAGATAGATAAGTATATACCTTAGCCCTGGAAACAGATGATTTATTTTGAGTACTTTTGCTGTACTTAAGTTGCTACTTAAACAGAATTTTCAAACACAAAAATCAACAGCAAATTTTACTGTCCCAATTTTGAAAATAATCAACAAAATGCAACTTTTTAGATTAAAATGTCATCAGATCCAATTATAGGTGAATACAGCCTTAAAATGGTGACAAAGTACAACTGAGTAATGACTACATTCTTGTTAAAAGGTAAAACATACACACCAATCACCATATAGAACACTTGAGTCTCTCTTTATTTTTTTAAGAATTAGAAATATATCCAAGTAACTGAAAAACAAAATGTAATACTGTAAAATGACTAATTTTCACTGGGGTTAAATTTTGCTGGTTTACCATTTCAGGCATATTCAGTGGGTATTAAATTCACGGTTTCATCATTTAGATAATGTGTTCTATGCTAAATTTTACATATTCACTGGGTTTTAATTTAGCGCATTTTCCAGTCAGCAAAATTAAATCCAGTGAATAATTAATCCTTTTACAGTATGTGTTTTTTTTTGGTTTACATGTGTGCCACTCTTGATATGAATGAAAAGTAGCTTTTGAAATAAGTTCCCAGAAAAGTAATTTGAGTGATCAAGCATTGATTCCAGAGCAGTTTTTTTTGTGTGTTGGGGGGGGGAGGGGGGGGGTCAAGAGTTTAAAAGCATTGCACTTTCATATCAGTATTGTATCATATTTTATTTACTGTTTTTAATTACCCGAGGCACAGTCTGATGGTCGATATGAATACAGTATTTAGGAATTCTTTGTGGCAGGTCTGCTCTTGCCAGCGGGACTTTGTGCCTTTGCAATACATTTATTTTTACTTGCTTTGCGGCTAGATGCATCCGTGAGACGTTTCTTGATTTCTTCCAAGGTTAAAGGTCGGGTATCATCAAATTCCTCAGTATCTGAGTTGTCATCTTCCACTCTATAGGCAAACCAAAGTACAAAATAGTGTCATTTATGGAAATTACCATACTTGATAGATAAATGGAAAATTGCTGATGTCACAGGGGTCATATAAGCTGTAGGCACTTTATATGTAAATACTGTGTCTGTTTTGCACTACCTGATTTTTACCACAAGAACAAATAACATCTATGGCCAAACAAAGGTATATTTTTATGATCAGGTATACAATAAATGCAATTTGATACACTTCAATTGGAGATTTGGAGATGCCCTTCTACTGGAGATGCACATCTATTGAGACGCACTTCTATTGGAAATGCACTTCTTCTATCAGAGATGCACTTCTTTTATTAGACATGCACTTCTTTTATTAGAGATGCACTTCTATTGGAGATTTGGAGATGCACTTCTACTGGAGATTTGGAGATGCACTTCTACTGGAGATTTGGAGATGCACTTCTACTGGAGATGCACATCTATTGAGATGCACTTCTATTGGAGATGCTCTTCTTCTATTAGAGATGCACTTTTATTGGAGATGCACATTTTTTAAGAGATGCACTTTTTTTAAGAGATACACTTCTATTAGAAATGCACTGAAGAACACTTTAACCTGATAGATCAGTATGATTGCTTTACTAAGCCATACTTACCCAGTAGAAGGTGCTTGAATTGTGATTGATGCTGTTGGTAGTTTACAATATGGACCAGAAACACTACGTGTCTTAGGTGGTGGTGGTGGTGGTGCCAGTAGAGTAGCCATTTCAGGCTTCATAATTGCTGCCTCCTGATAAGTATGCAACAGAATGAAAATTGTAAGTAAACAAAAAAATTTAAAAAATCTAGATCTCTGTTGAAATATGTGTATTAGATAATATTTTCAATTTTTGTACTACTTTATGGAAGTTGGCCTTGGTACTCCCATGTTACCTCTATGTTATGTGTTAAATTTTCTGGTTTCATTATTGCAAGAATAAATAAAATACATCATAGTTACCAGATAAAGAATGATAGAATCAGTTCCTGTATAGAATTTATGACATCATGTGTCTTGATAGCAAAGAATGATGACATCATAGTTTCCGTATTTCCAAAAAATGATGACATTATAATTTCTGATAACAAATAAAGGTGACATCATAATTTATTGTTAACAAAGGATGACAACATAATTTCCAAAAGTTTTCTGTATAACTCACCTTCATTTGCATATACTGTTTGAGAAACAATAATTCATTAGTTTTTTGTTCTACAATTCCCAAATATTGTATCATATTTTGGTCGGTAATCCCATCATTGGCTCCAAGTAAATCAGTAATTGCAGTTTTATCACAATTGATTTTATTAAACAATGATTCTACTCCAACTTTCAGTTGATCCAGTATTTTCTTGGTTGATTTTAAACATTTTTCGCTCTCATCAGCATCCTTTGTTGCAACGGACAGTTTGACCTGGAATTAAAAAACAAAAACGATAATTAGCACTAAAAAGTAGATAAGACAACTGTTATTTCATGGAAACTAAAATAAACCCACAATTTTCATTTTTTATTGCTCGATAAAATATTAAGAAATACTATAATATACTATCAGGTATTCCTAGATTATGAACCGGTTTACTAGACTTGAAGACAAAAAGTTCTTTCCCCAAAATGTTTAATAATTATCTAATTTGCATAATACATAATATGTGGTAAAATTCATTGATCTTTGCTAAGCACCTACCAGGTAGTATACTACTACAACGATTGAGTTGAGTCTCTCTATCACGGGGGAAATGTACATGGGTTGAACTACAACAATTAATATTATCCAAAATTGGTACTTGATGAAATAATTGAATTTACAAATTATTGCATGTGTTGTAGCAATGATCTGCAAACTCATATGCCCATTTTTAAATTCAAGTTTTTTGCATAACAACACAACAATATGGCAATAATAAGTGCTGTATAGCTAAAATAAAAAAACAAAAATAGCTAAAAACAATTGTTTGAAGGGAAGAGGGTAACTACAAATTAAACCAATATATATATATTAAGTATAATATACTTCGAAAATTATTCTCAACTCAAGTGTTGATGTAGAAAGAGGGAAGTAAATTTTACTACAGAAATTATAGGAGATGTTGAATTTGAATAGAATAGCAGGATATCATGCCTTGTTAGCATAATTTATTATCACTTCCCCTGCAAAAGTTCTCCTCGGATAATTGACATAACTTTAATCAGTATGGACAGTATGGTAGCGTTTTTGGCTTTGGCATTTGTTATTGTACTAATCGGCATGTCTACAGCCCAGAACCTGAATCCGAATGAACCACGGCAACCACAACAGCAGCAGCATCATCAATGTGTGTATCAGATCTCAGTACCTAAGTCTTCAGAAAGCCAAATCTGCCCAAGTTTTTTGGAATTCACTTGGGATATACAGCAACTGACAACAAGCAATCAACAACTCAACCAAACTGTGGAGGAATTGCAAAACCAACTATCAACTCAAGTTGCCGAATTACATGATATCAAGCAACAGTTGGAAAGTCGAGAAATCGTTGGTAAGACATGTTGAAATGTATACAGTTATATATATAGCCTGTTACATTTAAAATATATACCACATACATTTTGTATAAGTAGGGAGGGTAGCATCTCAAAATTTCTACCAATCTTTGAAAATTAAATACAAATGGAATTATAATTTATGAATATATCAACCCACTATTTCCAGTCATAACAAAATATTGAACATTGTGTCAGAATCCAATGTGTGACAATGTGTAAAAACTGTATTTTATTAGTCCCCGTTCGGACGCAGTCCGAAAACGGAGACTTATGTTTTGACCTCCGTGCGTCTGTGCGTGTGTGCGTCTGTGCGTGCGTCCGGACCAGTATCTTCGAAATGCCTGGACCAATCACAATCAAACTTCACACATACATCACACATGATATTATACATATGCACGTCAATTTGTTTCACGATCTGATTCAAGATGGACGAATGGCGGCCATTTTTGTGCTAAAAATCATAAAAATCAAGCATTTCTCGGCTGTTTACAGATGGATTTTGTTCAAACTTGGTATATACATTAGACATTATGGGACCTTGATGCACATAATTTTGTTTCACAATTTGATTCAAGATGGCCGACTGGAGGCCATTTTTGTGCTAAAAAATCATAAAAATCAAGCATTTCTCGGCTGTTTACAGATGGATTTTGTTCAAACTTGGTATATACATTAGACATTATGGGACCTTGATGCAAATAATTTTGTTTTTCTGATTAGATTCAAAATGGCCGACTGGTGGTCATTTTGTTTTAATGAATGTGGTTCTCATGCCATATGTCTGACTTGCTTTCACTGATTATATTCAAATTTTAAATATTCATTATACATCATGTCATAGATAGACAATATATATATTGGTTTGACGATCCTATTCAAAATGGCCGAATGGTGGCCATTTTTGTGCTAAAAAAATCTTCAAATATCAAGCATTTCTGGCATTTATAGATGGATTTTGTTCAAACTTAGACATTACAGGTTTCTGATGCACATCATTTATTTTTCAGATCGGATTAAAAATGGCTGTCTGGTGGCCATTTTGTTTTAAACAAACTATACATGTATTCAAACTGGCTGATTTTGAATGCTGTTCCAGAGCAATATCTCTCAATATGGACAAGTACTTGTTTGACGATCAGATACAAATGTCAATCATTTTAATGTTAAAAAATCATATTCCTGACATGGTTATATTCCAGCTATATTACTATAAACAAAACTATATAATTAAACGGGGACTGTGCATGGCTTGTTCTATCATTTTGGCATTGTGCCATATTTCTATCTATTTTGGCATTGTGCCATATTTCTATCTATTTTGGCATTGTGCCATATTTCTATCTATTTTGGCATTGTGCCATATTTCTTTCTATTTTGGCATTGTGCCATATTTCTACCCTTTATTACTTTGTGTCGCATTTTTGTTTAAACACTATTATAATAAATAAGCTGTTTAAACTAACAATATGTATGTGTTTAAATTACATAAACAAATTAATTACTTTAATCATTAAAATGATTTTTAATTCAAGTTTCAATAGTTTATAAAAAGAAACATGTTACAAATTTATGAATATAGTTCCTGATCAATTTGTTTTTCAGAAGCACGATGACAAACATTTTGGAGGGGGGATTATTTCTACAATGCTAATATTGTTTTATATCTTATAGGCTGTCATCAGATGCAGCATACATATTCTGAAAATGGTTTTCAAAATGGAGACTTTGAATCAGAAGGTGCTTGGTCCCTGTACCATGATGGATTTTCTTACGTCGATGAAGAAGTCTACACTGGTTCATTCTCAATCAAAGTTACCCTGGATGATGTCACAAAGTATGCAGGCGCTAGGCAAATTTTGACATTTCCTGATGGGTGAGAATTTGTAAATAGTTTTAATGTAGTTGTTTGATGCCCAAAACCAGGGCAAGGGGCAAAGATTTTCACACTTCGCAGGCCTTCTTTGCTCTGTCTATAAATTTTATTAATTTTTATATTACATTTTTGTAGTTAGTGTGTCCATCTGTTCCACTGGTATCTCAAGAACCATATGTTGGTTTTTTATGAAACTTGGTGCATAGATGCTCTGGGCTATAAATGCAAAGATTTGATTAGGTTTTTCTTTAAATGCATGCATATAAATTATCTAATTTCAAATACTTGTCTCCATGGTGTAAATGTTTGAATACTTGTCTCCATGGTGTAAGTGTTCAAATACTTGTCTTCATGGTGTAAGTGTTCAAACACTTTTCTCCATGGTGTAAGTGTTCAAACACTTGTCTCCATGATGTAAGTGTTCAAACACTTGTCTCTATGATGTAAATGTTCAAACACTTGTCTCCATGGTGTAAGTGTTCAAATACTTGTCTCCATGGTGTAAGTGTTCAAACACTTTTCTCCATGGTGTAAGTGTTCAAATACTTGTCTCCATGGTGTAAGTGTTCAAACACTTTTCTCCATGGTGTAAGTGTTCAAACACTTTTCTCCATGGTGTAAGTGTTCAAACACTTTTCTCCATGGTGTAAGTGTTCAAATACTTGTCTCCATGGTGTAAGTGTTCAAACACTTTTCTCCATGGTGTAAGTGTTCAAACACTTGTCTCCATGGTGTAAGTGATCGAATACTTGTCTCCATGGTGTAAGTGTTCAAACACTTGTCT